ATCCGTATATATGATGTGGAGTCATACTCGAGCTAATAACATGGGGAACAACCAATTTTAATTTTCCATAATCACTAATATAATTTTTTCATGAAATAACTTTCTGTTGCTAGTTCAACACCAATAACATCCTTTGAGCCTTCGATAGAATTTTTCTCCACTTCATAAGCATGAGATTTGAATGCATACATTACCATCTTAGAAGTATTATTATACATTGTATATGGGTGTAGTTATGGCAACAAAAAAAAAGAAAACAGAAATGGAGAAGAAAAAATAAATTTTTAGGTAAGACACTTTGAAAAGCTTTCTTAAGAATAATAATCTCCCTACTATGATGCAAATTGACTCTTGAAGACGTTATCTCCGAAATTCAATACCTATTTTGAAGAAGGAAAAGATTGGACTTTAACCCCCTCTTGAACTCACTTGAACTACAAACTAGAAAAAAATGCAAGAAGAGAAATCTGATTTTGATCTTGAAAAGAATAAAAAGTTGTTGTAAACGAGTGTTAATGAAAATATTTATAGGCCTTAACCGGTGTTTAAAACATCATTTCACCAGTGGAAATATCTTTTATAAGGAATCACTACTTTTAAGATAAAATACCATATTTCTATTGGACATATTTTTTAAATTTTCAAAAAGGGCAGTCGAATGTTTGAAATGAGCAGTCGACTTTCCTAGTTATATTTTCAACTAGAATGAAAATCGTTTTTTAAACATTCGACTCTCTGTCAGGGCATTCAGCTACCAAGACCAAACTCTTAATAAAATGTATTTTGGCACCAAACAATCGACTCCTATAAAAATGCAGTCGACTCCTCGTTATGTTTTTCATCAATAGCCTATTTCAAAACTTTCAAATATTTATTCTTCAACACATATACATATTATATGATTATAAAACAATATTCAACATCAATATAATTTTAGAAAACATGGGTAATATTTACAACATTTCTATCTTGAATAAATCTAATCTTGTTTTGGACAAGTCAAGAATGAGAAGAAAAAAAGAACTTATTGGAATTCTAATGTGCATAATATCAAGAAATTACTACTTAGAAGGTTTGCACCAAATATTAAGGTCATGCACTAAACTGCTGCCTCTCTGCATGTCAGTTAATATGCTAGTTTTTGAAGGTAAACTCCTACTACTTACCTATAAGAAAAACAAAGGATATAGTAGGCAATGAACACGATTTAAATCTTAAATTTTTATGTCACTAAACTTCCATGAAATTAAGATTTATGAGAGAAAAGTCGATATGCATCGAGTATCTTGTTTACATCTTCAGTCATAAACTTAGATAATAGCTTCTTCATGAATGCCGAGATTTCTCATATGCATATCTTTTATTAAAATAAACAACTAGAAAACACTATAATCGGTATTTAGTTGCATTTTTAGGTTCCTATTCTTCACTCTTTATTTGGTTTCCTTCACATGATTGAAACTACTTTTGCTGTATTATTAGAATCATCCTCCCATGTCCCTCGATTCATAATTTGGAATATTTTTTATCCACATGAAAACAGCATCTTGATCCTATATATGGATGTCAATAGATAGGATATAAGACATGTAGGGCTTTAATAGATAGGATATAAGACATGTAGAGCTTACATCTCTAGTTTTTTATATTATATACATCCTTGTACTTTAAATCCATCCACATCTTCACAGAAGATTTAATGGGTATGAGAATGCTTGTACCATAATTCTTTAAAAAAATAAAAAAAACAAAATTTATTTTTTAGATTTTTTTATTTTATACATTTTTTATTTTTTTATAAATACATACTTTTTAAATAAAAATATACTAGATCTAATTAATTTAAAATGAAATTTTATATTATTAAATAAAAACTTTATTTACTAAATATATATATTTAATATATATGCTGTATAAGTACAAGTATGGGATAGATGCTACATTATTTATCTCTATTTTCATACTTAATTAAAATTTTAAAATCATATCAATCTCCAATCCAATATTTAAAATTTAATACTTATTCCATTTTCATTCAAATAAAAAACCAAAATTTTCATGGCATTTAAATCAAGTTTATTAATATCGTACCAAATAATGTTTTAATTTTTTTTTAAATATGGTATATATCAGTATTAGTTGTTTCGGTATATTTTTTTAGATTTGTCAATTTAATACAAATATATTTATAAATATGCATGAACTTATATATTATAATACTATTAGTAATTTACCAACTAAATATGCAAAATCTTCTAAAATCAAATAAATAAGTTTAAAAGTATAAAAAATAATGTCATAAAATTTTCATGATATTTTTAAATACTTAATCTGATTATATGATATCTAAATAAGTTTTTTATCATATAAATATTAAAATAAAAATAAAAAGATGAAAAAATTAACTGAGACTTTATGATAGTTAAACTTTATAAAGGGAACGTAATTGTTTTCTTAAAAGAAATTGAAATATTTATAAATTTTGATTTGAAAAAATAAAATATAAAATTAAAAACTTTGGTTTGAAAAAATAAAATATATAAAAAAAGTTAAAATAAAAAATAAAGAAACTCAACTTTCAATGGTTATTTTGTTAATTACTTTTATTTTTATTAGGTTAAAAATAATTAAGTAACAAAAGATAAGTTAAAAATTATAAAATATATTTCAAATTCATGCACCAATTGAAATATTCTATTTCATCGAAATTCACCGAAGTTGACCAAAACTAACAAAAATAATTGGTACTACCCACTACTAAATTTAGTACAAAAAACTAATTTTAAGTATATTGTATTTTGATATAATTGAAATACATTGATTTGTACGATCGATACTAAAACAAAATTTATAACTATGATTTAAATAAAATTAACATCCCTAGTTGATCATTTTCTAGGCACAACTTAATTATAGCACCTTCTTTAGAGGAATAGCATTTTTCTCCCCGTGCGTTAACTACATCGATTTTAATTAGTGTCAAGAGACAAATATTAATATTTTTTCATGCATATTCTATTTTGAGATCGTTGCGGTGACGACAATGATTCCAATTATGGGGATGACCTTTTAATCCTATACTCAAATTTAAAAAACTTATAGATCAAAACTTTTTAGTGTTAGTTAGTTTCAATATATACCAAAACAACTCATTGATCAAAGCAATGTTGTTGGTAAATTCCTATATGCAATAAAAAAACATTTTAAGTACCACAAAAAAAGATTAACTAAAGTTTAAAACAAGGTCAAATTAGGAAATCAATTCTTGTTTTGGGTCAAAATCATAATTTAATTCATGTACAATAATTTAAATAAAATTGATACAAGGTCAAATTATGTGCTTTGTGGATGTAAAATATCAATCCAAAATGTAATAGAATTACATTTCCAAGTCGACGTAAATTTTTTTTTAATCATGCGGACTAATGATATAGATTTTTTTATATGTAAATATCAAGTAAGCATTTACATGGAGTTTTTTCTTTGACCAAGATAATTTAAAATCTCAATTCTTAAGATAGATTACATTTAAACTTTATTCTTAAGCAAGCATACATGTAAACTTTATTTTTAAGCAAAGGTACTTTTACTACAAATCAGCGTGTCTCGTACCTTTAAATTACAATTGCAATCCAAGTTTAGTTGTTTCCGTTGGTTAACGTTTAACAGGAAGTTCTTATTCTCATTTATATCTGTTTTTAATGAACTAAATTATTTTAATCTTTTTCAAATCTCCCTTTAAGTATTGCTTTTGCGATTTAACTAAGCCAAATGAGATTACATGAATTAAAGAAATGGACAAATCGGGAAACAAAAGATTTAGGTTTCACTGTCTCTACCCGCTACAAACTGAAATCAAAATGCCAAACGTACAGATTTCTTATCTCCTCTTGACTTAGAGTTTACACTCACTTTTTCATGACCCAGCTTTGAAATTGGAAGTTGTTGTGGCTTTCGCTTGCAAGTTCAAGCTAAGAATTCTGCTTCAATTTGTTTAAAGAGCCTTGTTCAAGATCAATAGGTGTTAAAGAGTCTGAGTCGAGATCCTAATTTCATATTTCTCTGGTGTTGGATCAACTTTGATGTAAAAAATACCATGATCACATATGTTACCATTGAAAGATAGGGGTTGAGAGCTTGATTTGTAGTATATTTGGGGAATTTTCTAAAGCAAATACAAAAGTTAAAGGTAATAGAAAGAAAAGAAGAGATGCTTGAAAAAAGTCATTAACAATGTCAAAATTTCCATTATTTTATGTCTGATGATATAACATATTTGGAGCTATAAATCTTAATTTTGATGATGTTGCATCTCATCAGTCCATAAACTGGACTCTGCAATTGAAAAGCATACTGGGGAGGAGTCAAATCCGATGAAGCGATAGAAGTCAAAGTTTACATGGTAATTAAATGCTTACAAGGCAAATATACCCTATTTTAATAAAGAAGAATAAAAGCACTCTATTTTGGGAATAAAATTTTTTTAAGTACCTTGATATAAGAAAAAACTCCATTTACATGTTGTTTGTGCTGTCTTTCTTTTTAACGGTTTAGGTTGAGAGAAATGTGCAGGGCAAGGGTGAGAAGCTCGTAAGGGTTACAAAAAGGAAAATTGAAAAAAAAAAAAAAGAAAAAAATTAAAAGAAATTTGCCACATCAATGCAAGGAATGAAATGTAAACACTCTTATATTTTGAAGTGACATTTTACATCTAAAAGATATAGACTAAATTTATTTAACTTATTATAAAAAAATAAATTTTGTTTTTGATTAAAGTACATGAACTTATCCAATAATTTGACCCTAAATCAATAATATATTTTATTTTAATGATGCTTAAATTAGAAAGTTACTAACTTTGTTACATCCAATTAAGTGTGGCTACTGGCTATAGGGGATTCTAACCTTCTCTTCCAAATTAAAAAAAAAAAAAAAATTCCTTATTAATGTTATGGCTAAACTTTTATTTAAGGGCCACTATTGGGTTGGGCCAAGAGGAGCTTAAAGGTCCGAGAAATGAAGTGCTCGCAGTCACAGAAGTGGTATAATTAACAACTTTTTATTGTACACGTGGGCATGAAGTTCTGGCATCGAAGCTCCAAAGTCCAAAGACAGAGCAGAACCCAGAACACGATGAAGAAAGAAGTAACGCCACCTGAAGGGATGCGTGATTAAACAATTATCCAACTCTAGTAGTAGTAAATAGAAATTGAAGAAGGAAACTCTGGGTATTGTCTTGTCTTGTTTTGTCTTTCTTTCGTTTTACTATATGTATTTCGACTTTGAATTGAATCTCTGCAAAAACAGAAGATAATTAGGATATTTTAGGGTTTAATTAGACTTAGGGTTCAAGATTCGTTTCTTCATTTTGAAAGCAGGCAAGTCTCTCTTTCATCCTCGTTGTTCTTTTCCTATTTAATAATTGCATTTTCTTTATGCAATAAAATCGTAAAGCTTCTTTATTGTTTTTGGAACTTTTATTTTGATTTATTCACCTTTTAAGTTCTAAGAGAATCAACCATAGATACCAAAGTTGAGCCTTTTTTCCTGTAGTTTGGCGGTCATTCCCATTCCCATTCATTTTCTTGTTAGGGATTATTTGCGTCACCTCATCAATGGTTTATGGTTTCCTCAATTAAGTGATTGGCTTCCTTGAAAAAGAGGACTCCTCAGTTGTTAATTCACAAACTTTTTTGTTCCATTTTTTCTTAAAACTAAATATGGATAATGGAAGTGCAGGAAGAGTTTTCAACCTATCATTAATGGAATCCAAGATAAGTGATACCAAGGAAAATGAAAACAAGGAGGCCGAGCTAGCTGTTCCAGGAGCTTCCGAGACGAACGATGGAGGCCATCCTGTTAATGCACAGCTTCAGCAACATCCTTCTTCTCCTTCCTCCGTGCCTTTGGAGGCTTACTCAATAACCTCTCCCACTGGGAATGCCAGTGCTGATAACAACATACAACCACTTTCTACTCCACCTCAGCACTCTGCGAGCTTTCTTCCTGTCCATAGTCAACAACCTTCACTGAAGTCTGCTACCGAAGTCTCAAGTAATGTGAAATCTAAATCCTCTGCTATTTCTGATTTCAAGACGCCTACAGATGCTAAAAGCGACTCCCCTTCCTCCAATCATATTCAAATCGCTGAAGCCACAACTGTTTTTAAAACTGAAACCTCCTTTGTCTCACCCACTAAACTCACTGCTAATGCCAAAACTGAAACTTCTTCTGCATTACTTCAGAGTAAAACTAATAATGCTGGTGACCCAGTACCCACCTGCCCTAACGAACTTCAACCGCTTATACCTTTTCCATCACTTTCTGATATGAAATTGGTGCAGAAGAGGGGGGAAGATTTGAAGAATGAGGTCAATAAGCTGGACTTAACTACACCCCCTGTTAACGGGAACAGAAATTCCGAGCTCTCATTTCTCTTGGATGATGTTCATTTTTCTGATGGCAATGACTCAGGAACAGAAGACGAGCAATTGGTCTTCATGAAGCAACTGGAAAATTTCTTCAAAGAGAGGGGCATGGAATTTAAGCCTCCTAAATTTTATGGTGAAGGACTCAATTGCCTCAAGTAAGTTTTTTTGTACTAGCATTATTGTTTTCTATTTGCAATTATGATTTGTTGGGAAATTTCTATTTGACTGATATTTTTCACCTTTTACGGGGATAAGGTTGTGGAGAGCTGTTACTAAATTGGGTGGCTATGACAAGGTATGTCGTGTTTTGCCTTGATTTCAATTAAATTTTATAATTTTCACGTGTTATGCTAGTCTACTTCTATTAATTGTTTATGGTTTTAGGTTGTCCATATTAAGGAATGCAGTATGATTGGAGCTGGCAATTTCCATATTTTTAGTAATTCCAAGTGGAATAAATTTGTTTTACCATGTGTTTGAAACATTCAGTCTTGGCTCCAATCCATCCTCCCCCCAACTCCCCCATATTTCTTTTCTATTTGGATATTGTTTGGCATTTTGTATGAGCATACTTTTTTAATATGCTGTTACAGTGGAATGCTAGTCAATAATCTTGTTATGACTATTTTATTTGGGTGTAAATCCTTCCGAATAGAACACTCTTTTATAACATTACATTTTATCCTGTAATTATGCAAGATCTTTATTGTTTTATGTTAAATTTCTGAATTACTCACAAATATTACATTTCTAGACAAATAAGTTTTTGCTTTTTGGGAACATACACACACATGTACCCATTTTTAAAGAACTTCTGTTAAGCCAAGTAGTATATATCTTATTTCACTGTTTATCGTGTGGATTGCTCTGATGACTATATTTTGTAAATTGAACTCTTTATATGCATTTTTTCCTGCTGCAAATGTGATATAAAACACTTTTGACTGTGGATAGGTAACTTCATGTAAATTGTGGCGGCAAGTGGGAGAATCATTCAAGCCCCCAAAGTAAGGAAGAAGATGCATGTTTACTTTCAATATTGTTTTTTTAGATTGTATATGCAAATTTCCTTGTTTAAGAAATTGATAATGTGGTTCAATCAATTATGTTTTAAAATCATTTATGAACTGTAGTTCTTAAGGACAAATGTTGCTCATTATGAAGTAAAAATTTTACATTTGCTATATTAAGTTCTCTCTTTTTCTCTCTCCTCCCGCCTCAAAGGATCAATGATATTTATGCATTTTCTGTTTGAATTTGTGCAGGACCTGCACCACTGTTTCATGGACATTTCGTGGTTTCTATGAGAAGGTATTTTACAGTATGGATCATGCATGCTTAGGAATAGTATTGCATCTCATTTTGTGTTTGTTAACATTCAGACATGGCTCTGCATCTTTAGTTACAGTGTTCTCTAAGCTGTCCAAATTAAGTTGCATAGAATTAAAAGATAAAAATTGGGAAAAAAGGGACTTAACTTCTTGTGTAGGATCTTTATAAACAGCACACTTAGACTAGATAGAGGCTGATTTAGGACTTAAAGTTTAGGTTCAAACAATAACAATAGAAAGAACAAAACTTAAAAACTTTGTTGATATGTGAACATAAACAATATGAAAATTAAGAAGGGGAAAACAAAGGGAATTTAGGTGAAGTATGAAAACTGAAATCAAGGAAGACAATAAATTCAGAAAACACACTTAGGATTAAGGAATCAGTCCCTAAGAATGCATCACACATTCAACAGTCAAAGTTAATTAACTTCTCTCCACATGACACTCCTGAGCACACACAAATCTCCCAAATATATAGACAGCCAAGGTTTAGGCAGCGTTTTATAATCATGATTAAATGATAGCAAGTAGATAATGGCTTAGGCAGCCCTGCTATAGACAAGATTAGAAGACAGCTAGCATCTTCATAATGTCCTTGTATGATGGATGGGTCCTCTATTAAGTGGCAGCAAGCATCCTGATGATGATCAGCCAACATTCCCCTTAAGTGGTAGGATTTTTTACTTAGGTGGCAGCATTAGAATGCCATCTAGCTAAGCAAGTTCAGCTTTAAAATCTTGTCATATAATATTTGCATTGTTGTCCTTGCCCTTCCTATATGTTTTATCAGGTTTCCATCTTGCATCAACTTCCTTTCAATATCTTCCTGGTGCCTTACTGGTACATCAATTGGAGTGCCTTATTAGTGACAGAGCTTGGCCCTATATGTTATGTCATAAGTGGCTGTGTGGCACAGTAATTTACTTTGTGATTCATGTGTATTCTATTCAAAATTGGGTTTTATGCCTTGTTTCCTTCATGTACTCGAGACAGTTCTATTCCATGCTGTACCTTTTTCTTGTTTATAGTTTTTGTGCTTCTTTAGGCACTCCTTGATTATGAAAGGCATAAGACATGCGGGGGTGAGCTTAATATACCTGTTGCTTCCCAATCAGAGCCTATGAATGTTGTTAATCAGGTAATAAGAACTATCTTTCTACTATCATTTAAAAAAAAAAAAAAGATATGGATTTAGATTATGGTAGGTTTATGCGTGTTAAACATATTCAACTTCATTTATCATGTTCTCTTGACCTTGTCTGCTTAAAAGTTGTATGGGTACTTTGCAAAGCGTTTTACATTTTTCATCTCTAATTAGAATAGATTTTTGCGGTTTGTCTTTCTTAGTTATCCCTTCCAACATTCTTTTTGGTGCTGCTTGTAATTAGGCTTCAGGATCAGGTAGAGCACGAAGGGATGCAGCTGCACGTGCTATGCAGGGTTGGCACTCACAACGCCATTTCCGTAATGGTGAAGTCAGTGACCCAATAATTAAGGTGTGTTTGCAAATCAAGCTTGCAACTTGTCTCTTTTTTTTTCCATTTCTTCCATAAAGAGGGAAAAAGAGGAAAAGAAGAACTGTGCTTCTCCTTGTCCAGTGCATTTTAATGTGTACTTTTGATTATGATATACGGCAATTTATCCTCTTTTTTCTTTTTTTAGGATAAGAATCCTATTCCTCTGCAAAAGCATGAAAAACAGCTTAAAAGCCTGGGTATGTCCTTTAACCAAATTTTGTTTGGCTGTTTTAAAGCTGAGAAGATTTATGAAGCTGGATTCTTGTGTATTAATTTAGGTTTGCTTAAACGTAAGAAACCATCTTACTTGGACCATGCTGTCAAAGCTGCAACTACCAAAGTATCTAAGGCACAGTTAAGATTCATGTTATATTTTATGGGTTTTTACCATGAGCTTTTAACAATTTGTTTTAGACAAAATAGCCTCTTTGGACGCAATATTTTGACTTTCTTCTTAACTGGCTAGTGTGGAGACAGCAGTGGTTGATATTGGACCCCCTGCAGATTGGGTTAAGATCAATGTGCAGAAAACTGTAAGTTTGTATCCCCCTTCTCTTCAGAAATGACATGTCTTTCTGGTTTTTTGAAAGTTCGACTTGTTTTTGGTTTTACAGAAAGATTGTTTTGAGGTCTATGCTTTAGTTCCGGGGCTTCTTCGTGAGGAGGTCAGTACACAAACCCCTAAAACTATTATGGTTTTTATTTTCTTTTATGACATAGAATCAATTCTACAAATAGTACCCAAAATGCAGATTTATTAAGCATGTAATTTTACTGGCTATTAGTTTTAAACTTTGGAGTATATATATCCATAAGTTTATTTATAATATAAGTGTTTTTTTTTTAATTATGAGATAAGATTTTATTTTTATGAATAACTTAAAATTTATATATTTAAAGTCATGTAATGGCGAACTGTTTTGAACATAACATAAACCTTAAGCACTTTTAACATATATAATGAAGTTAAAATTAAAATATCAAAATAAACATTCAATACCTTAAACTTAAGTTGCACAAAATAATTAACATATATATATATATATATAGAGAGAGAGAGATAAGCCTTAAAATATAAAAAAAAAGGATTAAATAATGGAGGATCTCTTCTAGTATAGTATCATTGTTTCGTTTGGTTGATCCCCTATAAGATAATATTTATATTTAATTAATTAAGAGAGATATAAATTATTAAAAATAAATGTAAAGAATAAATTAAGAATTAAAATTAATTGAGAGAGATTTAATCTATTAAAAGTAAATTTACTTAATTTAATTAGCGAATTAAAATTAATTTAAAGATAAATTTAAGTTATTAAATATAAATGCAATTAATTTGGTTAAAATCAAATCAAATTAACTCAAATTAATGATATTAAATAATTGATTGATACATGATAATTATTTGAGGTTATTTGTCAAAAAATTATATTATCCACATAAGATAATTTTTTTGGCCAAAGACTTTTAGCTTGTATATATTTATATAAGATTAAAAATAAATGTGATTAATTTAATTAAAATCAAATTAAATTAAAAATTAAAATTAATTGAGAGAAATTTAATCCATTAAGAGTAAATGTAATTAATTTAGTTAAAACCAAATCAATTAAAAATTAAATTTAGTTTAAAGAGAAATTTAAGCTATTAAATATAAATACAATTAATTTAGTCAAAATCAAATTAAATTAAATCAAATTGAAGATATTAAGTAATGCATACTTGGCAATTGATTAAAGGTATTCACATGTTAAAAAATTAGATTATCCATGTAGGACCATTATCTTTTTAATTAAGAATTTTAATTTTTATATATTTATATAACATATTAATAAGTCTATATATAATATAAGATTTTTTTTAATTATAAAAAAATATTTTATATTTATAACAACTCAAAATTTATATATTTAGAGTAATATAATATTTATATAAAATGTAGCTTTTATATAATAAATAATATTTATATGTAAAGACTTTAGTTTTTATATATTTATATAAAATTAAAAATAAATGTGATTAATTTAATTAAAATCAAATTAAATTAAGAATTAAAATTAACTGAAAGAGATCTAATCTATTAAGAGTAAATGTAATTAATTTAATTAAAATCAAATCAATTAAGAATTACAATTAATTGAAAAGAAATTTAAGTTATTAAATATAAATATTATTTATTTGTTTAGAATCAAATCAAATTAAATCAAATTTAGGACATTAAGTAATGGATACATGGCAATTAATTAAGGATATTGCATGTAAAAAATTAGACGATCCGCATATACTAGATACTCGTGAATAGTATTATTGTTTATTTTGGTTGAATCCTTATTAGATATTATTTATAGTGTTGAAAATTAAGAAAATAGTAAATAAAATTAATTAAAAGAGATATAAGCTATTAAAAAATAAATGTGATTAATTTAAGTAAAATCAAATTAAATTAAGAATTAAAATTAATTAAGAGATTTAATCTATTAAAAATAAAAATAATTAATTTGATCGGAATCAAATTAATTAAGAATTAAATTTAATTGAGAGATAAATTTTAGCTATTAAATATAAATGTAATTAATTTAATTAAAAATTGAATTAAATTAATTCAAATTAAAAACATTAAGTAATTGATACATGATAATTATTCGAGGCTTATCTGTAAAAAAATTACACTATTCACAGGATAATTATTCTTTTTATCAAATATTTTAGTTTTTATATATTTATATAAGAATAAAAATAAATGTGATTAATTTAATCAAAATCAAATTAAATTAAGAATTTAAATTAATTGAAAGAGAAATTTAAGTTATTAATATAAATACAATTAATTTGGTCAAAAATTTTGAATTTTATATACTTATATAAGATATAAATAAATTTATATATAATATAATTATTATTTTTTAATTATAAGATAAGATTTTATCTTTATGACCAACTGAAAATTTATATATTTTGAGTCATGTAATGTTGAAATAACAAAATGAAATGTAATACTTGCTTTAAAATAAAATAAACCTTAAACACTTTAATATATAGAATGAAATTAAAATTAAAATAAACATTTAATATCTTATACTTAAGTTGCATAAAAAACAATTAATATATATATATGGAGAAATAGGTCTTAAATTAAAAAATTAAGTTAGAAGCATAGGAAATATGAAAAAAAATTAAATAATGGAAGATCTAAGAAAATCAATCCCAACTCATATACTAATACTCGTGGATAGTTTTTCTATAAAAGGATCACCAAATATTATTGTTTTTTTTTTTTATTTAAACCTTTATTATATAATATTTATAGTATTGAAAAGCAAAAAAAAAATGTAAATAAAATTAATTAAGAGATATATATCTATTAAAAATAAATGTGATTAATTTAATCAAAATCAAATTAAATTAAAAATTAAAATTAATTAAGAGAGATTTAATATATTAAAAGTAAATGTAATTAGTTTGATTAGAATCAAATTTGTTAAGAATTAAAATTAATTGAGAGAAAATTTTAAAATAGTAAATATATATTCAATTAATTTGGTTAAGATTAAATCAAATTAACTCAAATTGAAGATATTAAACAATGGATACATGATAATTATTCGAGACTATTTGTAAAAATATCCACATAGGATAATTATTTTTTTTTAACCAAAGACTTTCGCTTTTATACATTTATGTAAGATTAAAAATAAATGTGATTAATTTAATTAAAATCAAATTAAATTAAAAATTAAAATTAATTGAGAGAGATTTAATCTATTAAGAGTTAATGTAATTAATTTAGTTAAAATAAAATCAATTAAAAATTAAAATTAATTGAAAGCAAAATTTAAGTATTAAATAGTAATTTAATTAATTTGATTAGAATTAAGTTAAATTAAATAAAATTGAAAATATTAAGTAATTGACTCTCCATTCATGACAATTATCTTTTTTATTAAAAGCTAACTTTTATATAGTTATATGATGAGAATGTTATCTACAGTGCTAAGTCATTGTTCATGGATTTTGATCATGGAATCATAAGACTAGCTATAACTTTTTTTTTCTGGCTATGAAGTTAATACTAAATTTCTGCAGTCACTATGGAAGTTTTTCTTATATGGTTATCTTGCAACTTTAGGTGCGTGTTCAATCTGATCCTGCAGGACGCCTGGTAATAAGTGGCAAGCCTGAGCATCCAGATAATCCTTGGGGTGTTACACCATTCAAAAAGGTGTGTGGTAGACAAGAAGCTAGAAAATCAAGTATTATAGGAGGGAAAATATTGATCTAATTGCTTTATTATCAGCTAGAATAAACTTTTTCCATTGTGTCTTAATCTGTATTCATTATTATGAATATAATTGCATGCCATGTTTTGTTTTCTTCTGTGAGTTTCACATCCATGAGATTTAATTGGTCTAAATAATAATTATATAAAATGAAAGATTTTCAAGTTGACTTGAATCATTTATTTCATATAAAATATAATTTGAATATATACTTGTTTCCTGTTTGCGACCCCTTTGAACGTTTTCCAAATTTTTTACTCAAATCTAATTTTATTGTGCTGTGATGCCACTGCCCTAGTCTTTCATCAATGCTTTCTACCATTGCTACATCATCAAACCACTGTTGTTACTTTGCAACTTCTGTTGACAATAGCTGGATCGGAAGCTAGCACCAAAATATTCATGTCAGATTCGTTATAAATGTGGAAAAGAAATTTTATTGTGGCTGTGATGCCACTGTTCTCTGCCCCCCTCCCTTTTCTCCTTTTTTTTTTTTTTAAATTTTTGCCTTTCTAATAAACGTTTTTAACTTTTTTATCATGTTATTTAATTTATTAAGCCTTCGTCTTGTTGAAAATTTTGTTTTCTGGTGTTAGGTTGTCAGCTTGCCCTCGAGGATTGACCCCCATCAAACGTCAGCGGTGGTAACCCTTCATGGACAGTTGTTTGTACGCGTTCCACTTGCACAAGTTGACTAGTGGACTTAAGGTGTCTGCTCCACCTTCTGTGTGAAGAGGTGAGAGAGAGTGACTAGGATTTAAGCCAGAGGCAATTGAACGTAGTGTGAATCACTGTGTGGTACTTTATGCTTTGCTCTGCGGCCCGAATTAGGCATGCCACAGTTTTAATTTTAAACAAGTGTAGTATTTGATTTTCGTTTCTAATATAAAAAGTAGTGTACGTCATTTAGTTTAAGCCCTTTTATCTTTTAGTGAATATGAAATATAAGTGCTGGTTGTACTTTTGTTCTTAAGAAAAGTTGTATATGGCTGATTTATAGAGGCTCTTTACTTTTTTCAAGGAACATCGTTTCTATTGACTTCTGCCACCAGTTTTTCATTTTCATTTCAAAATTCGGAGTTATGAGTAGGGGTGTAAATGATATATTAATACTCATAAGTTATTCGGATTCGATTCGAAGAAAATTCGAATTTGGTTCGATTATTTTCAAGTCGAGTTCGAGTAGTTCGACTTATCGATCGAGTCGAATTCGAGTATTTTTATATCTGATTCGAGTAGTTCACGAGTTTAATCAAGTTTTTATATTTAAATATATTTTTATTTTTTAATTAATAAAATATTTCGAGTTCGAGCATAAAATAGAATTCTTGTCGAGTATACGAATCGAATTTATTTTTACATATTAATTGAGTTTAATCGAACGAGCTCGAGTAGCTCGAATTCGATCACGAATCGAATTCGAACTTAAAAAATAAAATTCGATCGAGCGCGAATCGAGTATCGAGTCTCGAATTGTGAGTCGAATTTGAGTTCAAACTTTTTATTATTCGATTTGATTCGATTACACCTCTAATAATTATCTGATGATGACAAATTTTTTCAGATCCTCAGTAATGTAACGTAATACAATGTTTTCAGATATGAGATTATGACAACTGCACGGCACTATCTTCTGCACTATCTTCCTTTGATTCTAGAACGGTACAACATCATGACCGGTCCACTCTGCCAGTGCTATTTAAGAAACAAAAATTGCTCTGTAACTGTAATACAACTAAATAATCATTCTCAACAGTATTTCAGAAACGAAAAATCGAACAATTACACACAAGATTTCTTTTTACGTACAACCACCTTGAGTTGAAACTTGAATCATTACAAGCAGCTACAAAGCGAATGAAAATGTTTCTTGATGGATGGAATATATGATTGACACCACAAAATAACAGAAAAATGAATGACTGTGAAAAAGGCAAACAGAGCCAAAACATCAACTGGCCGTCACCATTGATGCCAAGTCCAAGTCTTCATCAGAATCAATAACGTCTTCATAGTCATAGTATGATTGACCTGCATATGAGGGTCCATTGCACTAATTAGATGTTTACAGAACATAGTTTGATCCAATAAGTGCATCATTCCCATCAACTAGCATGCTAGAAAATTAAGTATTTTAGGGTGGAAAATATTGATCTAATTGCTTTATTATCAGCTAGAATAACCAATTAATACTTGGAAAATTTGGTCTTCCGAGTTTTGCTATTAGATCCTTAAAGGTTGATATTAGAATGCTTAAGTATTTTATCGGTGCTTACATTTTATATAATCTAGTTTGGTACCTTTGGTCTTGGGGCGATTACTTCAAACCTATGGAATTCAGGATTATCAAAATCAGGGGGCTTCAATACAACATATGCCCCTTTATTATTGTATCTCTCTTCCGTTGCCTGCATTGTAGAAAGATAAATTTAACAAGATGAATTGTGGTAGATCTATGGACATACTTTCATTATGGAGTTTATCTATGGACATCTTTTGTGCATTAGGCTAACTGGAAGGCTTCTAACAAGGTTTTATACAAGTTTTATCTTATGGAGTTTGCATCATACTTTCATTATTGCCTTCCATTGACAATTGATCAACATCCTGAGTATGGATTCTTAAAGCATCTATTTCGTGATTTATTTGCTTTAAAGTTATTGATGGATATGTTCCACCTTTCGATTCTATTAAAGGTTAGGGACATCGGAATAGGCAGCAGCAAAAGAGAAAAAAAGAACATTAAAGAGGAAGGCAAGTGGCTTATATCCTGCAATTAGCAGTGTTATAATGTTATGTCTTTTACTTTGTTCAGAAAATTGTTTCAAAGCATAAGCCTTAACAAATGTTACTAAACAAGCTAATTGTGATCTAGGGTGATGTGCTTTGACATTGTTGGTTAAGATAAACTATTGAAGGAGGGAAGAAAACCTCACTTCCTATTATTTTGATGGGCTAAGTTTTAGGATGTTGAACTAAAAATTATGGTGATATGACATAGGTGAATAATTTTGTCATATAATTTGCTGCAAACTAAGTTTAGTTTTTTTATAGCTTATGACTTTGATTCAATGTCTTTCTGAAACTCATTATATTATAAGGTTTGATTTGTTAATGGGATATGTGACTTAATTACAAGGTTGCTGCTCAATGATAATTACTTTTGTTGTATAATTAATATGTTATGCGATGTTAAGTTCTAGAGGTTAATTGCCTTTCTCATTGTTCTTTATCTGTGAAATGTTTATTTCCTATTTGTCAATATACCTATTTGTAAACCTTATGATATTTTATGACTTGATCTGTTAGCAACATGGGTGACTTGACTAGGAGGCTGCTATTCTTTCTTCATTAGTGTTTAGGGTGCATATGTTTGATGGTTAATAGGGAGTTAAGTTTTAGAAGGTGAAGGTTTAGGGATTAAGGGTAACAAAAAGAATGAAGAAGAAGAAAGATATAGGAGAGGCAATAAAGGACGGAATCATCGACTAAGTTTTAATAGATCATAACTCAAAGTTATTGTCATGCAAAGAATTTTTTTGTATACATGAATTAAATTCTTGATTTATGCCCTAACTTTGAATGTTGGATTATGTATCCAACTTCAATCAACCTCCTTAATATTTCATAATTACCTTTTTAGCTTTCGATTGTACAAATGTTGCATTACGTAATAATTTTAATTTAATATCCATAATATTTGATAATTATATGTTAAAGGTTATTTAAATCTTGCAGAGACGCTGATACGGTCCTTAAAAAAAGTAAATGAAATTTTCAGAAATGAAAGGAGAAGAGAAGGTAGAAGAACAGAATAGAGGAAGAGACATTCCAAGGGAGAGAAAATTGATTGTATTTCTCATAACCGAATGGTTTGTACAATACCCATACTCCTGTCCTCCTAAACTACCCAACAATCACGACAGCTACATTCCGAGATTCTCGAACTTACAGAACACTCACACCACCTCTCTATTTTTCTAACACTGGTAACAAACTTGAAATAAGATGGCCACGCTTAACATAAAGTCATACATGAAATAAAAAAATCACTCGACATATTTACTAGGCCTATGTTTTAGTTTAAACCCAATAACATTTGGCTCACCATTCAACTCGCAACAACACTATATGGCCTGTAACAATACCCTAACCTTGAAAAACATCATTGTCCTCAAGGATTAAAGCTAAGAGTATCACATGTAACACCTGAATACATGATATGTCACGTTTAGCATCATTTGAGACAAGTATATCATCTTCCTCAATGCCAAGGCTGTTATAGAATGTTGAAGCAAGTGCTGCTGTCAATGTTTTTTCGCCTTGTTCAGCTCCCTAACTATTGTCACTTTCTAGTGTAGACAATGCAAGAGGTCTTTAACCATTGCAGAAGAAATAACATCTGAATTATGTATAGTAGTATCAATAATCCCAAGGCAATGTGCAGGAAATAGATAAGGAACCAGATAACCAGCTTCCATTTGTTGATTAACTCTATCAATCTTTTCTTTATTGATCGAATCCTAGTCATGCATGCCTTTTCATGATTCCATTGTTCAGTTAATTCCTTTTGTTTCTATTTGAGTGAATTCAAATTATTTTCCAGCTTCCTTAACCTTTCTTTGGACGCTTTATCAGTGTCATTTTTAAAGGAAAGCTTATCCATCTCCAACATCAAAACAGCTCTATCTATCTCATTCAACTTTGAGGGTTTAGAAGTGATCTCTATCTCAGCAGCTTCATCAACAAGGTAAATGGTTTTATTAGGCCGACAACATTCTGTTATATAGCGATTTGCAAAAACTGCTGCTGAAACATGAGCTCTGTCAGATATTTTAACACCATGATGCTCATTTTGTTCATGCAAACCTTGAAGAATAGACATTGTATCTTGAACAGATGGTTGACCACAATAGACTTGTTGAAATCTACACTCAAATGCAGGATCCTTCTCAATGTATTTCCTGTATTCATTCAAAATAGTAGCTCCTATGCATCGCTGTTCACTTCTCCCTAGCATTGGTTTTGACAAATACCCAGCATCCATTTCATTTCTTGTAGCCCTTACACCAACAATTGTGTGAATCTCATTAATGAACAAAATAATCTGCCTATTTGAAGCAATAATTTCTCATTAAACAAAGTAGTATTTTTTATGATAAATTGATCTAAACAAACCATAAAAAAGTGTAGATGAAGGAAAGGAAAGAGGTTTACTGCAAGTTTTCGAAGGTCGGAGCTGAGCTAATTAGGGAACCTAAGGCAGCATGTGACGGCACGCAGGGTTGCAGAGATCAAATGATTCACATCACCAAAGCTAGGAGTAGTTAACCATATTGTCCTAAAACATATATCATACAAAGCCTCTTTGTCCAACATCATACACTCATCAGCATCCTCAATAAGCTGAGGAACCAAAAAAAAAAAATGGTACTGTATGGCTCAACCTCTGTATCCAAAACCTTTGGTGATGATAAGACAGAAAAGTGAGCATCACTCTATTAGGGTATTTTTCTCTACTTTTGAAATCAACAGTGTGCCCATACCGAAACTAGTTTCTCCATCAAGAGAGTGACAAACTTGAAAACCTTGGAGACAGTCACCATTCTTGGTTTTCTTTCTAACAACATGAAAAACAACATCAATAAGCTCAGCTCCTTCAGTGTAATGCCCCTTAGCTCAATTATTACCAGCTCCATATGGCTCATACACAAAGTTACCATGCCTATAGACCTGTCTCATCAACACAATGGTGGCATTCAAATGATCTAAGATTGTTGTAGAAACTAGCTTTGTCAAGTCATTACTAAGCATATAAATGACTTTAAACCAATCAAAGGCATATTTCTTAAAGGTAAACACCACAGTAGCATTGCTTCTCTTTTCCATTGTTAACAGCCTAAACCTAT